TGTGAGAAGCAAATGACTCTCCCCCACTTCCTCCCTCACCAAGGACCATGCTAGGGGTCTCTCCGCAGCAACCACAGCCCAGGGAGGGGAGCAGGCTGGCATTCTGCAGTCAGAGCCAGATGGCTGGGTCTGTGACTGAAGCCCCGTGGCTGGCGGGGAAGGCCCCGGAGGCTGGCATGAGCTACCAAGCAGGCTCTAGCGAGCGAAGGCCGGGATCGCCACCCACTGTGCTGGGTCCTGACTGTTGGCCTTCCATTGCCCCCACCTGTGGAGGAAACAGCGGCAGGGCTGTGGTCTCTCCAGCTTCTAGGTCAGTGCAAGGTCGGCCACAGTGCCTAGGCCGTGGGTCACCGTAACCCCCACCTGACCATTTCTGTTCATGCCAGAGGCTTATGGAGCACCCACCACCTACCAGCTGAGGGACAGGACTGAGGACACAGGAAGAGCTTGGCCTTAGGGCAGAGGGAGCGGGTGCAGTGGATAATCACCGAGTCCGTGTAAGAGGCACTATGAGTCAAGTCTGGTGACTCTGGGGCCACAGCCTGATCTCATTTTGAAACCTGGCCTGGCCACTTGTTGGCTTGTGACTTTGAGGAAGCTGCCTAACCTCTCTGAGCCTCAGTTCCTCACTCGGTAATAATCATCTGAGACTTGTAAGATAGTGATGGGCATGAGAGATAGAAAGGCCTAACCCACAGCTCGAGGATTAATGGTATGACTGGTGTCTACACTCGATCCCAGGAGGAATGTGTGGGGTCGGGGCTGGAGGCGGCATTCAAGGAAGCAACAAAAGGTGAAGCACAATTAAGCTGGATCAGGAGCAATGAGCCGTCCGGCTCACCAGGGAGAAGGACAGCAGTAGAGGGGGCTGCGTGAACAAAGCAAAGGCACAGAGGCAGGAACGCGCACAGCGTGGCTGGGGGCTCCAGGGGGCGGGGGCAGGTAGGCTGGGGTTGGCCTTGAGCCTGCAAGCAAGTGCACCCCTGCGGGCAAGTTTCAGTAAGGTGGAAGATGATCTGTTTCCTGGCCACAAGACTAAGTAACATTGATTCATGGGATCAGAAAGTTAGTCCCTTTTCAATTTTCTTTCAAGTCTTTGACTCTATCAAGGGGAAAACGCTTGACTTCCAATACCTAATAGCTGTGATCAGGCCTTAAAGTGACTATTTCTGCAGGCAAGTGTAACCACCAAGAATCTGTAACATTGTTGTTTTGTTTCGATGATTATCTTCTATTCGGAGCAAGAGGCTCTCCACTTACAAGGGTGATATAAACTTTCTTTGTAAGATATATTTAAAAACGAAACGCTTAAAGGAAAATACTACGGAAATGAAGGTACAAGGTGAGATGCAGAAAGTGTAAACATCATAAAGGCTGGACCCAAATGACGGAACTTCAGGAAATGCTGCTGAGGCCATAAGGGAATCACCCAAATCCTAACCCAGGGAGGGCTGGGGCCACATCAGGGTCTTGGAGGGACAACTGTGATTGCAGGGAGAGGCCAGGTGCTGGTGCCTGGTCGGCAGAGCCAATGCAGGTAGCAAATGGGGCAGGTCTGCCCCAGGGTGGTGGGCTTCAGAAGGACCTACGGGGAGACTCTCTGGGCACAGACAGGCTGCGGTCTGTGACCTGCTGGGTGGTGGCGGTGGGAGAGGCAGCCTTATGTCTGTTCCGTGAGCTGTAAACGCGTCTAGGTCAGTGTCTGTCGCTCCGATCTGGATTTTTCTATTGTCTCCCATCAGACTGGGAGCCTCTTGGGGGCAATGTTGGCACCCCTTACCTCTTTTCCAACTTCCCAGAGTGTCTGGACTCTGTATGGCCCTGTAGGGAGACCCAGCTGCATGGCTCACCAGCTGACAAGTCAAGATCTCAGACCAGGGTGACCAACTGCCTTGTTTTGCCTATGACTGAGGGGTTTCCCAGGACACGAGACTGGAAGGAGCTGGTCAGCCCACCTCAGATGGTCCTTGCAGGGTGGCAGCCTTGGGCTAGAGCCTGTTGGGCTGGAGTTGCTGGCCTATGGGGCCGAAGTGAGAAGCCCACAGTCTGCATGGGCCCCAGTAATCATTAGTTCGTGTTTATATGAACAGCACCATCCACCTCGAAGCTGGTCCCCAGCCTTCTCAAAAAGGCTCAGTGACCTTAGTCCTTTTCAAGAAAATATATTTCACCCTGATTAGAAACCTCCTGGCCCCACCCTCGAATCTGGCTCCTGTTCAAGTTTCAGAGTTCAAAGGCCTCAACGATGTCACTTTCCAGGCAGGGCAGCTGTTCTCAAAGTGAAGTCTCCAACCCTGACATTTAGGGCCCCAAGTGACTGGTCAATTCTACCCCATTCACCAACCAGAATTTCTCTAATTCTCTGAAGTAGTCCTCCTGTTCCAGCTGATATGGCCTGCTCAGGGTTCCATGCCTGTCCCTGCTCCTTCCCCCTCGGTCTTCTCCTCCTCTGTTCCACCTGCGGGGAGGGCTCCCTTCACACATATTCCCATGCTTGAACTCCACCCAAACCTTAAGCTTTGGCTCACGGCATCTCTCCGTGAAGCCTCTCCACCTCTTCCAGGCAGAAGATGCTCCTGGTTTCTCTGATCCTCTTCCAAAGCCTACTTGTCCCTGGGGAAGCTGGTCACCCCTGCAGGTGTGGTCACACACCACCTTGGACTGAGCTAGCCTGGAAACTGCCCGAAGGCAGGGGCCACATCAGATTTGTTTTTGGCCTCCCACCTCCTCTGCCTGTACTCAGGAGTCAGCATATAGAATTAACACACAAGTGATTAAAGCCATAATGCCTAACTGGGAGAAGTTCCAACTATCTCTCCATCGGTCACCTGGGGACAGCAAGGAGGGCCTCTACAGAGGCTCATCCATTCAGCCAATATCCCCGGACCCTCAAACATCAGACTAGGTGAACAAGACCCTCACTGTCCAGGAGAGGCTGCTGGGCCTGACCAACAACTTTGTTAACAATCACCGTGCAGCCCAGGGCCAAGAAAAGAAGGGCGAGGAGCTCTGGGAATGTGTCATGGAAGGTCTGGCCCAACTGGGGTCATGAAAGCATCTCAGAGCACAGAGTACCTGGGTTGAGACATAAGAATGAAGACAGTGTGGCCACCGAAGACCAGAGACGTGTCCCTGTGGCCATCTCAGAAGAGAAAGCAGGGGGTTTGGGAGTCAAGGCACAGTCCATCTCCCTGCCTCCACTCCCTGGCCGTGTGTTCATCTGCCTCAGTTTCTGCATGAGCGCAGCGGGGCTGTGGGGAGGTTTTGTGGGGATAACGGATGGGAAGCACTCAGTACACAGTCAAGCGCTCCCCAAACATAGGGGATTACGGTTGTCATTATTACCCACACTGCTCACAGGAGGCCAGAGGGTTCCAGGCGGCCAGATTTCCAAGCTCAGGCTGAGCTGGATCATAATCCTGCCCACGATTAGCCCCAACTTGGAGGGAGGAGAAACGGGCTGCCACCAGGCCTCCCTGTTGTCAGGTGGACTGCCCAGGTCAGACTGCAGGATTCTGAAGGAGCAGAGTCGGGTCTAGGAGGCCGAGCAGTGAGCCACCCAGGGTTACAAGGGGGGAGGAAGCTGGCGGCAGGCAGAGGAAGACAGCAACCGAGGGCGTGGCCGAGGACAGGCCTAGGCAGAGGAATGAGACCAAGAACAAAGAGCAAGAGAGTATCCTCCCCCTTCCTGCCCACCCTCCTGAGTTACTCCAAAGAATCAGTGGACCGACTTCCAGTGATGGATGCAGCAGGCTCTGACGTTTACAGGCTACCGGCTCTCTTCAAGGCCAGTCCGATGTTTAAAAGCCTGTCTGAAAGCCACTCTGTTAGGGGAAGGAACTGACCACGGACCGGAAACCCCTGAGGTGTGCAAACAGCCACGTCACTTCTCCCCAGGAAGGAGCTGGGGTGGAGCAAGCTGAGATTAAGACCCTGGCCCCAGCACCCGGCCTCCCAGGGGGACCCACACTGGTCTGGGAGGAATCAAGTGCTGTCTGTGGTGCCTGGGAGCACAGGTTCTTTCTAGCCACACTGGCCTTCCTGCTGTTCCTTAAACATACCAGCTTGTTCACCACTCCAGGCTTTCGCTTTTACTATTTCTGGATTGCATATTACTGGCTCCCATCACATCATTCAGGGCTCCTCTCAAGGACCACCTCCTCCTAGAAGCCTTCCCAGATCACCTACTCTAAACACCCCACTCCCCACACCTACTGTGCTCTTCCTCCAGATACCCACACAGCTCAATGCCTCATCTCTTCCCATCTTCGCTTCTTTGCTCAGAAGTCACCTCCCTCACGAAGCCTTCCCTGACCACCCTATTTAAAACCGTATACCCTCCCCCAGCTCTCATCCTTCCTCCCTGCTTTCCTTTTTGACATCCCAGATGTTTAATTATTGACGGTCCTTCTCCTCCTGCTGGGACGTCAGCTCCAAGAGGGCAGGGGATTATTGTCCTATCTGTTCACTATTGTATCGTCAGCACCTAGAAAAGTGCCTGGCACATAACAGGGGCTCAACCAATGTCTGATGAGAGAATGAGTAAGTACAGGCATGTTTAAGGGCAGAGACTCTGGTCAGACTGTACGAGATCTCATCCCAGCTCTTCCACCTACTGGGTGATCTTGGACCACTTACTTTGCTCCTCTGAGACTCAATGTAACCAGTAAAAGGAGAATAACAACAGTCCTTGTCTCATGGGATTACTGGGGGATGAAATAAGATCACGCATGTAAAGAGGTGAAAAGCCCGCCTGGCCCCCCGCGAGTGCTCAGTACTAAGCTGGCGGCCACCACAGCCTTCATTTGCCAGCATCTCTTGCTTGCTTGGCTGCTCCCTGGTTCATCACGTGTTCCCACTCCGGTGTCCGCTCCAGCCAGCCTTACTTACTGCCGTGCCCCCAGGGTCTGGCAAGGTGTGGGAAGAGAAACTCAGGCCTCCTCTCAAATCAAGGAGCGCGGAGCTGGCAGACACAGCTTCAGCCCGAGAAGGAGCCTCACCGATCTGTTTCTCCAGCGCGGCCGCCTCACAGACGGTGGCCCGGGGCAGGATCCCGGGGTCGGTGAAGCTGGTCCGCAGCAGGCAGCTCATGACGAAGAAGAACAGGATGGCAGCGATGATGGGGATGGCGAGTGTCAGCTGGCGGGCCAGGAAGGGGCAGCTGTGGGCGGGGGGAGAGAGAGATGAGCAGATACCCAGAGGGCCCCCTGCAGCACAGGGCTACAGCACCAGGCAGGTGTTGTCATCCCAGAAACACCCCGCATTCCCCATTCCCGTGCAGAGAGCCTTTCCCTGAGGAAGAGGGACAGCTCCTGGGCCAGGGCCTCGGGCAGCTATCACTAATTGATCCTGGCGCTTTCCCTCTGAGCCAATAGCAGACATGATCAATAGATCCCAGCACTTTTTTTTTTTCTTAAATGAGCTAAGGAGAGGAATCTAGATCCCAGCATTCTTTTTTTTTTAAAGATTTTTTATTTATTTACTTATTTGAGACAGAATGAGAGAGAGAGAGAGAGAGAGCACATGAGAGGGGGGAGGGTCAGAGGGAGAAGCAGACTCTCCGCCCGAGCAGGGAGCCCGATGCGGGACTCGATCCAGGGACTCCTGGATCATGACCTGAGCCGAAGGCAGTCGCTTAACCAACTGAGCCATCCAGGCGCCCTAGATCTCAGCATTTTTAACCCCTGCACTTAGCTGCAGCCTCAGAATCCTTCCAAACACAAAGCTTCAGGCAGCCACTACCAACTCGCTTGAGTTGACCATCCATGAAAATGTTCACTCACTCACTCACTCCACGAATATTTAGTGAGGTCTTACATACGCCAGGCCAACACCTTCCCCAAACAGCAGTGAACAAGAGCGTTGTTCCCCACCCGCCATGAGGCTCTGGTCTAGTGGGGAAAACAGACCTGTGGACAGACAGGAGCCACATAGGGCTGGGTGTGCTAACACGGGAAAGAGGAAGACAGCCGAACAGTCAGCAAGTCTGGCTGAAGGAGATAATGCCTAAGCTAAAATCTGAGGAATGAAAAGTGTCAGCCAGGTGAAGGGGGTTAGGCGGAAGAGCAATGGTCCAGTCACTGCCACTGTCATCCAAGGGCTGGCATCCCAAGTCAGTGCGTTCAGGTGCCCGAGCCTAGCTGGTGTGCAGAACAGCCTGTGCACGGGCTAACTCTGAGGCCTGCCCACACGATTAACTGCTGTCGTCTGCTGCCTTCCCTCCCGGAGTGAGAGGGCCACCTGATGGGGGGAGGAGCTGCTACTCAGGAGGCCAGAAGCAGCCAAGGAGCTGGCACAGCTGCAGAAGGCAGACCTGTGGACACCCGCACGCTCCTCCCAGAGCCTCCACTGCCAGAGGCTCTGGCCTCCAGAGAGGCCCTTCCCTTGAAGAGCAGAGGCTGCCAAGACCAAGGGCTCCAACGGGACCACACATTCTGCTCCAAACACCTCAGTGGTCGCTAGGTCCGAGCCTCAAACAAAGCTGGGCTCTCTGTGTCACCCACATGACAATCAGCCAGTTAGTGGACAGCCAGACTCTTTTTTTTTTTTTTAAAGATTTATTTATTTATTTATTGAGAGAGAGAGAATGGTAGAGAGAGAGCATGAGAGGGAGGAAGGTCAGAGGGAGAAGCAGACTCCCTGCTGAGCAGGGAGCCCAACAGGGACTGGATCCCGGGACTCCAGGATCATGACCCGAGCCGAAGGCAGTTGCTTAACCAACTGAGCCACCCAGGCGCCCGAACAGCCAGACTCTTTGCGGGATGGGGACGTGGAAGTCTGAGACTTGTAGAACCCTCAGAAACACCAAACCAAAAACACCTGGCTCCCTGATTTTATAGACGGGGACTCTGAGGCCCACAGCTACATCCCAGATCACCTAGCCAGCCAACGACAGGACTGGGGTGTCCAGGCCCTCAGCAAATACTCTCTACATTCACTCAACAAATATTTACTGTATTGAGTGCCTACTACACACCAGGCCCTGTTCCAGGCACTGAAGACATAACAGTGAGGAGAACTGAGACAGGCAACAAACCAGCAGAACGTACACACCAGTATGTTCAGATGGTGGCAAGTGCTTCCAGAGAACCAGCAGTCAGGGAAGAGGAATAGGAGGGAGGGGAGTAGTTTATGTTGACAGTCAGGGAAGGAGGGAGGAAAAGGGAGGGAGGAAAAGTGAGGGAGGGAGCCCTGAGACCAGCTAAAGGAAGGGTATTCCAATCAGTGCGAAGGCCCTGAGGCAGGAATGTGCAAGGAGGCCAGTATGTCTGGAGGAGGATGCATGGGGGGGGGGGGAGTGGGAGGAGAGGGACAGAAAGGAAGCCCATTATCAGGGCGCTGGCTCTTATTCGGGAGAGCCAGGGAGGATTGGGGGGGCTGGGATCTGACTTAGAATTAAAGGGGCACTCTGGTCTCCGTGTGGCATGGGAAGTGGGACAGAAGCCAGGCACCCTGCTGACAGCCCTGTGCAATAATCCACCAAACCAAACAATGAAGCAAAACCCTTCTCAGCAAGAAAAAGCCCTAGAGAGCCACTCTCTCTTTCCCCAGAGCAACGGGAGAATGTGAGCTCGCTCGCTCTCCAGTGTTTCCCTGTGCCGGGTCCCTACTGAGGTTTCACCCCAGTTGAGACTCAGGGGAGCTCTCAGCCCAAACCCAAACCCTCCTGCCAACTCCACCAGCCCAAGTGAGGAAGAGCAGAGACAAGGCGAGATGATTCACAAGCCCTCCCAAACCCAGAAGTCCTCCTTTCTCCCTTCTCTGGGGGACAAATCTGTCACCAGTCAAGATACCCACGGAGCCCAGAAGATCCTGCTTCTGAACTGACTGAACCCCATGCTGCAGGGTCACAGGGGTCAACTTCCTCCTGCCCAGGCTGCAGCCCCGGGGCTACTGGAAAAGGAACTTTCAAAACACTTATGTGGGTCAGCCCGGTGAGATGGATCTGAAACTCCGCCCAGGGAACATGCTGGAGGCTGGGGGTTCCCCAGAGCTTCTGCTTGTTATATTATCCTGGAACTTCTTACCCACCCTGACTCAGAAAGGAAGGGGGAAAGGGAGAAGCTAATTCGTACGAAGTCTTCACCTTGCTTCAAGGGGAAACCCAGGGTTGCAGATACATGATCTGGCAGTTGGAAAGGGGGTGGTGTCTTTGTGGAAGTCTCAGTGTGGCCAAAGGCCCTTAGGAAGTGCTTTATGGTGAAGCCAACAGCTAACAGCAGCATCCAGCATTAAGTGCTTGTTCCTGATTAAAAGCTTACATACATGACCTTGTGCCACCTTCATGATGACCTATTATAAAGCCCATTTTATACACGAGGGCACTGGGGCTCTGAGGCGAAGGGACTGCCCCGAGGTCATGCAGTCTGCAGGTGGTGCGGGCTGGGGCTGGGGCTAGAACCAGGTCTGTTGGCTCCAGAGGAGTTGTTCACCACACCACACAGTTAGGGAAGACCACAAAGGATGGACTGAACTAGGAGGGGAGGTGTGAGTGTGTGTGCAAAAGACTCACACAGCAGATGGCTCAAGCTAGAGACCCAAGTTTTCCAAGCTGGAAAACTTCCAATACAAAAATGCGACCCTGAGAAGTGACAAGCATCCCCTCTTCCAACCAGAAAATGGAGATACTGTGTGGACCGATCCTGGGTCACTGGGGATCAAAAGCCCCCAAGGGGGCAAATAAAACCTGTCACACCAAAGCACTCTGGACTCTGGAGAAATAACAAGGCCCTGCGGCTGTTCCTGCCGTGGGACAGGCCCGGGTATGCTCCAGAATGTTGAGAAGGCAAAGAAAACCAGGAGGTCAGAGGTGGGGGGCAGGGGCTTGGCGGAGTCTGAGGGAAGGCTGGGAAGTGCTGGGGAAGCTAAGGAAGGTGTTGGAGAGAGGAGGGAGGCCTGAGAGACCCAGAGCTGTTTGGGAAGATTGCCTGAGGGCCTAGAGGGAGAAAGACTGAGGGGAAAGCAAGGGGGAAAGGTCTGTGCTAGAGAGATAACAGGTGACCCCAGACGGGGCCCAAAGGCAGCCAGATTTGTAATGGGGAGCATAAAGCCAAAGGACACGGAAGAAATTCAGAAGTTGTCTGGAAGGGACAGAAAGCAAAGACGCCTCGAGGGGTCGGAAAGAAGCTGGGGGGGTGGTAGTGGGCAAGGAGGTCCGGGCGGCCTGAGCCAGGTTCTGAGAGGGCACAGAGGGTGGGGCTGTGAAGGCCATGGAGGGCGGTGCTCCTGGCACAGGCTGGGTGCCAGGGAAAGGCAGGGAAGGATGGGGGGGCGGGCCACAGAGGATGGGGCATCGGGATGGGCGGAGGATGGGGGTGGGTAGGTGGAGAGGGCTCCGGAGGGCAGAGGAGAGATATGCCAGGAGACTGGGAAGGCCTGGGGGCAGATCCCGAGCGGAGGGCGGAGGACGCAGGCCCCGGGGGAGCTGGGAGGGGAGGGTGCCTGGCAGGTGCAGGGAAGGGTGGAGCGCCGGGGGACGTGGGAGAGCAGCGGCGGCCCAGCGGGGGCCCAGAGGGGCTGGAGTGCCCACGCAGGACCCGCGCAGGTGGGGTGCGCAGCAGGGGGCGGAGGGGACCGGAGGAGACGGGGCGGCCGAGGGGGCGGGGCCGGGGGCGCCGCGGGACTCACTCGAAGACGAAGAAGAGGACGGTGGTGGTGAGGATGAGCAGCAACGTGAGGGCGAAGACGCCGCCGTGGCCGGCCAGCATGAGGCGGCCGCCGCAGTAGAAGCGGTTGCGGCCCGGGAACACCTCCCACTTGCGCCGCGGGCGGCGGCCGATGCTCCCGCTGCCGCTGCCGCTGCTACTCC